AGCCAGCCGAGTGCCCCAGCCATTGGACTTGAGGTCATGATCCAGTGCTACTGACTTTGGTGGAGCCATCCCATCGGGCAACTCCTAGCCTCTAAGCGCATAAAGGCTTGTCTTGGCCTACCTTGGCCTAGACGCCGCACGGGTTTCTTCCGCTGTAGAACTACTCCCGTGACAGTTGGTATCAGAGTGAGCTAGCCAATTGCAGCCGCAGTTGGTGTCAAGAAGATTAGCCCAGAGACAGTTGAAACATTCATCACGACAAGCAGCAACATTGTGGGGTGCGGTCCCTGGGCACTTCCACCCAGGATCGAGCAGAATTCTTATCAGGCCTGGCAAGAGGCCATTCGTTGACGTGTCCCCATTCCAATGACCTTAAAATAGCTTCCCTTGCAGGGGCAAACGCATTGGTTGTTGTCCTCATGAGGGGGCAGACGCGTGAGCCTTGTTAGGAATGTGGGTACACTGGCCGTTGGAGCATGGCAGCCCTACACCGGCAAAGTATCAGGTGGACATGCTCAGTTCAAACAGGTGGATCACTTGCAGCAGCAGAAGTGCATCACAAGGCGAGTGCATGTTCGGCAACTCATGGGTAAAAGTTGCCACACTCGCGTTCAAAGTGGTCAGGTCTCCTTGAGGTAGCAGTAGTGGGGCCCCCTCGGAGTGAGTAACCCGAATCGGCGAAGTGAAGTCTGTAGGCCAGCATGGTGAAAGGGTACCCAGGTCATCGCCAACATGAGGAGTAGACCTATCAGCGTGTTTGGTAGCATCACTGGAAAGCTACCAAGAAGACGGTTGAGCCTTGAGGTAAGATGATACATGGGGCGGACCTCCGTGAAGCACCACACACATTTCTTCGAGGGCCCTTCTTTCACAGTTCAACGGCATAGCCATTGCGCGGTTTGAGTAACCTCRACACTGGGGGTGAAGTCCAGACAGGCCGGCATGGTGAAATGGTTTTGTCCCCATAAATGGACACCAATATAGGCGAGACCCGAGTTGGCCAGGCGAGCCCTGGAACTGGCAGAAGAGTGGATAACGCGGGACACAGACGCCCATTTACGGAAGGAGTCATTGTCGAGGATGACAATGAATTGAGTGGGGGAGCCTGTTATGGTCTGACACAGGCTTAGCCTTACCTACGCTTGGTAGGCTTACGTTAGGGACATCACCGTCATTTTTGCCTGTAAGATTTTTGGGATAATTGATGTTATCTTCAGGCAGACCACCAAAAGCTTAACATACTCTTTGAGGAGGGGTGGTCGACCTCCTTGGGTGCCTAACCTTGGCACTCCTAGACCTTCATCCCTTGTGGGGTGGCCCTAGTTAATGGCTAGCCTGGCTACCAGGGTTCCTCATGGGCGCACACATGCTCATGGGGACAGTGTTGGACCGGCACTGCGCTGCCGACACTCAAAGGAGGCTTGGCATGCGGGCCTGGCTCAAGCATGACCCTTCACCTCGCCAGCCCCTTGCCCAAGGTGATTGAGCTATCGCGTTGCCCCTAGCGCACAAGTGTGTTCCGGCCCAAGCGGTTGCCTATCATCATGGCACACAGGTGCCTATCATCATCGGCATACAAGAGACCCTTCACATCGGTGCCAAGTCATAAAGGCATGAAGTATGAACATATGGGCTCAAGACAAAAGTGGTAGATGCCCAAGGGAGATGATTTTTGTTACTTCTCGGCTTGTTTAATAATCAAGCCACTGTATTGGGCTCAAGCTCAAGCTCGAGCAGCTCATGAAAAGCTCAGCTCGTTGCCACCCCTAGGAGGAAGAAGAAGAAGAATAAGAAAGAGGAGAGAAAAAAATTGACAGTGATTAACTTCGTCGTCACTATCGTCGGAGTTTCGATTCAGATTAGTACTTCGAACTTTTGCCGGTGGAGGGAGTGATGAGAGAGAAGGGGGAGTGAGGGTTGGAAAATTGGATTCAAGTAGAGAGAGATTTGAGGTTTTTTTTGTCATTTTGGTTTTTTCTTATATTAAATAGTGGGAATAGAATTCCAATCCGGGGGGTGGGTGGGTCGGGAATGGCCATTCCCTCAAATGGGGGATTGCCATTCCGCCTGAAATGGAAATCGGATTCTGATTCCCTGAAATCGAAATGGACCATTGTGATTCCGATTCCGGACCCCTAATCCTGCGGACCAAAAATACCCTTTAGTTGAGCTTGAGTAGACCTGTTACTAGGGCTGTTCATAAGAAGGCCCAACCCGACCAAACCGATCAACCCGGACCGACCCAACCCGAGTCGGTCGGGTTTTCATCAGCACGGGTCGGTTTCGGGTTGTGCAAATTCCTAAACCGATGATTTGGGTCGGTTTCGGTTTTCACACAAGAAAACCGAAATTGACCCAAACTGAACTGACTTAGTTCATAGTTCAAACATGAAGCTCCAAAGCCCATTAGGCCACCTAGATTTTGAATGGTTGCAAGAAACTTTGGATTAGTGAATAGTGATTAATGAACAACTTTTGTGATTAACTTTTCATTTAAATTTTATCATAGGAGATGGCTGAAATGATGTTCAATTTATGACTGTTTTTAAAATTAGCAAGATTTTATCATAGGGATGAACTTAGAACCGAAACCGACCCAACTCGACTCAAACCGACCAGGTCGGTTTTACTTAACACTGGGTTAGTTTCGATTTCTATGTCAGGTAACCCGACCAGGTCGAGTCGGTTGGAAAAACCGCGTTAAACCGACCCAACCCGACCCGTGAACAGCCCTACCCGTTACATCGCATGTCACAAATGACACCGTTAGTAGTAAAAGTAGCAAAAAGTAAGCAACCCTACCTTTATTAAGTTATCATTTTGTGCCCGATATATCGGCCGAATCTTGACTAACATAGTAACAATTAACATGTTTCGTAATCTGTTATTGTTTTAAGCGTTTCTACTTCTTCAAGACTACTCGAGAAATTCTTGTTCGCCAAAAGAGATGGCAAAGAAAACAAAACCGAAAGGCGGAGAAGCAGAGAAAGCTGAGAAGAAGAGCCATGACGGAGGTTCCTCCTCCAACGTTTTCAAAACCCTCTTCGGAGATATACCCGACGATGGTGGTGGCGGTGTTTCTCTCTTCTCTAACAACCCCTTTCGAAGAAACCATCAAGAACAGCAACAACAAGAGCAACAGTTGGGATTAGGGTTTTTTGGTTCGGGTGGTGAAGTTAGTGATGATAACCCCAAAGGTGGAGGTTCTCAGGGAAATGGGGACGAAGACCTGGGTGAGGAGAAGAAGAGGAAGAGACGCAAAGAGAGGAAGCCGGAAATGGATGCCGATTCGATTCAGGATAATGGTTCGGAGAGCCTGAAAGAGGCGAAAAAGAGAAAGCGAGAGGAGAGGAGAAACCGAAGTTTGGATATTGATTTGATCGAGAAGAGGACGAATGAGATTAAAATAAGTGATGGTCTCGATGTTCCTGTTAATATGGATAGAGACGGGGAAGAAAACAGGAACGCTGAGGGGAAGGAGAAGAAGAAGAAAAAAAGGAAGAGAGACGAGATTGAGGAGGAATACGAAGCTAGGCGTTATGGGGTGGTGGTGAAGGTTGAGGATGAAGAAGGGAGATTGGGGGGGAAAGTAGTTGGCGAGAAGAGGAAAACGGTGGATGATCCTGCGGAGATGTTGGTTTCCAAGGAAGGCTTTGATGATGAGAGTAAGCTTTTGAGGACTGTTTTTGTAGGGAACTTGCCTCTGAAGGTGAAGAAGAAAGCCGTGTTGAAGGAATTTAGCCGTTTTGGCGAAGTTGAATCTGTCAGGATACGGTCTGTTCCACTTCTAGATGTGAGTTTGTATTTTTGTTATTGCCCTTTTGCCCTTTTTAGTGTTTAGAGAGCTATTTCAATCTCTTTTCTTCTTAATAATATTGTTCTCTCCAATTTCTTTTTCCGTTTATCAGAGCAAAACACCAAGAAAGGGTGCAATTTTCCAGGGGAAAATCAATGAATCCGTTGACAGGTTTGAGCTTGAAGCTAAATAGCACGTTTTGTTTTTCACTTTGGATTATCCAATTTAATCTACTCTGATTGATTTTTTTTTTTTTACTTTTCTTGATATCATGGTTTCTTTTGTTTTGATGTTACCATTTAACTAATGCCATTTATGTGGTTGTCCTCTATCTACATTTGCCTTTCATCCCTCACTTTTATGAACGGTTTTACCTATTTGCTTTTTTTTTCAGCTGAATTTTATAAGATGTAGTGATGTACACAAAAGTATATAATCCCAATATGGATAGCTAATAAAAATTAAAAGTTTGGAGATGATCAACTTCCCCAATCCCTATCAAACAATACATGGTTTACATTTATCATTTCTTTCAGTGAAGCTACAACAATGCAAATTCTTCACCCAATAGTTATTTTTCATAATCAAGTTAGATTAAACACCTATCAAGACTTCTCATGGATGTTGGAGCCTGTTTGCACCTAGTGCCACCCATCTCAATGATCTTTTTATCAAAATAAGACCTTAAATGTGTAGAATCCCATAATCACTATACAAAACATATTTCAGCTCAAGGGAAACAAAAAGTAAAAGGACCTATTTAACAATTAAGTTGAGTCCAAAGAGGCTATGTAGTCAACAGCTCAATTGTTTTTTTGCTGTATCTGCATAAATAAACAATGATTAAGGAAGATCAAGGTGATGCTGGACCCACCAAAAAGCACTTATTTAGGTGTCTGGAGTAGGCCTAAGCTAACAGGGAACACGTCACAAGGCCCTGAGCTTGTTAGTTTGAAACTTAGCTTTGATTGTCCAATAAAATAGGCTGGACAGAACTTAGGAAAGTTAAATGATTAACCAACTGGTAAAGCAGAATTCATCAATTGTTGAAATGGGTTTTGAACAAAGCCTACAGGAGGATTAAGTGAAGCAAAGACTGGTAGAGGCCTTTAGGGGTGACATGGAACATTAAAGATGAGTATCTAATGTTCTAAGAGAAATACAGAAATCCTAGGGAGTGGGGACAGAAGAAGTAAAGAAGGAAGAGGGAGAAGTGGGAATAAATAAGAAATAAAATGAAAAGTGAGAGAAAGCAAAAATAAAGAGAGCTAGAGAGGTAAGTTGGCAATGGAAGAAAGGCTGATTGAAGGGAACTTCAAGTAGTCATTTTCTTGGCTAAAATCTGAAAATGAAGTTCCTTGGGTATTATTCAATCCATGGTTTGGCAGATTATCTCTTTGGAAGAAAACTGAAGTGTTAATTCAATTGGGTCCCAAGAGGCACTAATGAAGCTGTGGATAGACTAGCCAAATCAGTAATTCTGGGTCTGAATTTGTTAGGGTTGTCTGGGCCCCAGGTTTTTGTAACAATTTCATAGATCACATGATGTGAATACTGGTCAGTTTTGGCTGTTTATGTCCTTATGACCCTCAGGGTCATCTTTTTCTTGATTTGGAATGAAATTCATTAAGACTTCTTGTGGTACAACAATGGATAGTTCCAGAAGAAGGTATGTTGAAGTTGAATTTTGATGTTTGCAGACTAGGGAACTTAAGCATTTGGAATTGGGGGGAGTGACTTTGACACTACTATTTTATGCTATAGTTTACCATTCAATGTGGGCAACTCCTTAAAGACAGAACTTTATGCCTTCTGTGAAGTCTAAAAATAGCCTTGATAAAGGGTTGGAATGATTATCTATATAAAAAAGGGTTGCAATGATTTATTGGTGGAGGGTAGATGTGATTCAGACCAATAATAAATAGTAGAATAATTTAGATTATGGCAAAAGTAGAGAAGAAGAAGGAAGAATGGAGAAGAAAGGAGAAAAGGAGTTTGATAATCTCCTCTTTCCTCCACACTAATCTTTTATTAATCTTACTTAAGTTGCATAATTTACAACTCTGCCCTTAAGTAGGCGTCCACCTCATTAGCATACTTAGAAAACATAAACAAGAATTAAAGGCCCATAAAGAAAGGCCCGTTAAGAACAAATAACAATAAAGAACTAATAAATAAGACACTAATGGGCTAGGGCCCATTCGGCCCATTCGGCCCAGTCTCTCTACACTCCTCAAGTTGAGCATAGATATCAATCATGCCCAACTTGCTTATATAGTGGACCAACTTTTCTTTAGGAACACCTTTTGTTAAAACATCAACCAATTGTTCTTCAGAAGCAACAAATGGTAGACAAACTTCTCCTGAAGTAACTCTCTTATAAAGTGCCTGTCAACTTCTATGTGCTTAATTATGTTATGTTGAATAGGATTATGTGCAATGTTGATAGCGGCCTGATTGTCACAATATAACATCATTGGCTTCTCATAGTCTATACCCAGTTCTTCTAAAAGTGATCTTAATCACAAAAGTTCTGAAACTTCATGTGCCATTGCCTTGTACTCTACTTCAACTAAGGATCTAGCCATTAGAGATTGCTTCTTACTCCTCCATGATACAATGTTCCCTGCTACCATAGCATAGTAACCTGAAGTGGACCTCCTATCATCAATACATCCAGTTCAGTCAGCATTAGTGTATGCTTCCTGCTTCATGTGCCCATGCTTAGCAAACGAGATACCTTTCCCTGGAGTCCCTTTTAGATAGCACAGAACCCTCTCAGCAGTTGCTAAATGTGCATCTCTGGGAGAATGCATGAACTGGCTAATTACACTAACTGCATAGGAAATATCTGCTCGAGTCATGCAAAGGTAATAATAACTTCCCAACCAGTCTTTGGAATACTCCCCTATCAGTCAACAATTCACCATCAGTAGTTGATAGCTTATGATTTAGGTCTATAGGAGTATAAGCTGGTTGGGCACCCAGTTTGCTAGTCTCTGCAAGGAGGTCAAGAACATACTTAAATTGAGAAATGAAGATACCATATTGATAAAAAAAAGAAATGAAGATACCATCCTTAAATCTAACAACTTTAATTCCCATGAAATATTTGAGTTATCCCAAGTCTTTAATTTCAAACTCAGTGTTACAAAAACTTTTGAGATGAGCAACTTCCTGAGTATCATTACCAGTAACCACAATATCATCAACATAGACAATCAGAAGGGTCACTAAGGAATCTCTCTTCTTAACAAACAGGGTATGATCTGACTGAGTCTGAGTGTACTCAAAAGTAACAAGAGTAGCTCGAAACCTGTCAAACCAGGCTCTAGGAGATTGCTTAAGGCTATAAATGGACTTTTTCAGTTTACAGACCTTCCCTTGCATGTCCTTCCCATATGCCCCTTGAGGTAAAGACGTATAGACCTCTTCATGCAGGTCCCCATTCAAGAAAGCATTTTTTACATCGAATTGATGAAGTGGCCAATCAAAAGTAGTAGCTAAAGATATCAAAACTCAAACGGAAGTCATTCTGGCCATTGGGGCAAAAGTTTATAGGTAGTCAACACCATACATCTGAGTGTATCCTTTAGCAACCAAACATGCCTTAAATCTCTAAATAGTACCATCTGAATGATACTTAATAGTGAAACACCCACTTACAACTAATCGGTTCCTTTCTCTCAGGCAAATCTACAATTTCCCAAGTATTGTTCTTATGCAAAGCATTTAATTCAGTCATCATAGCATCCCTCTATTTTGGTTTGGACAAGGCTTTTGGGACAGATCTGGGAGTCACATGTGTGGAAACAAAGGCAAAGAAGGAATAGTAGGAAGGGGAAAGAAGGCTGTAAGACAGGTGTTTGGAAATGCAATGAGCCGTACATTTCCGTTTGCCTTTGCAAAGAGCAATAAGGAGATCAAGGTCAGGCGTCAGGGAAGGTATCCGAAGTGGTAAAAGAGGGCTGACCTATTACCTTAGAAGTGATGGAGGTGCAATAAGCGGCTCATCTGAAGGTGTGGAAACAATTTGCATGTCTTTGAGTCTATCTCTGGTACCACCTTTGGATAATAGGAATATAGGATGGGAAGAAAATGTGGGAGGATGAGTAGGAGGAGGGGGAGCAGGAATATGAGAAGAGCCAATAGAGGACTCAATTGGAGGAGACTCAATAGAAGATTCAATGGGAATTGGAAGAGGGACAGATGGTGACAATGCAAACAACTCCTCTAAATGCTCCCCCTAGAACTACCAAAGAAAGGAACAAACTCTGCAAATGTGATATCTCTGGAAACAAAGTAAGTGCCACCAATTGGATTGAAACAACAATACCCTTTTTGTGCGGAGGCATATCCCAAGAAGACACACTTGTGTGCTTTAGGCTCAAACTTATGTCCTTCATGACTGTGAACATGAACATAGCAAGTGCACCCAAAAACTCGAAGATGAAGAGTGAAGAGATCCTCATTTGGAAATAGGAGGCTAAAGGGAGTTTTAAACCCCAGAACTCGGGAAGGCATTCGATTTATCAAGTATGTAGCTGTAAGGACATCCCCCCAAAACTTAACAGGAACATGGGAAGTAAAAAGGAGGCTCCTCACAACCTCAACTAGGGGTGCTCACGGTTTGTTAACCGAACCGTGGGGCACTTTTTGTAACCGAATCGGTAGTACCGATTTTTGGAAAACTGGTAACTGAAACCTATCGGTTAACCGGTTGATTGGTTCGGTTAACCGTTGGTTCGGTTTGTTGGTTATTTATTTTTTACAATGTAAATTATTAAAATATATAATAAAAATTATAAATATATATAAAATATTATATTTTAAATAATAAATAATATATCATATATTATACATATTTATATATATAATGTATATTTATTAATTTATAATATATAAAAAATATATATAAAATTATATTCATTCATAAAATATATATATATATATATATATATATATATAATATAAAATACACATATATATAAAATATATAGAAATATATGTATACCAGTTGGTTTGGTTAATTGCCGGTTTTCTGTATTGGTTAACTGAAACCAAATCGGTACCTTTGGTTTTTTAAAAAACCGAATCGACCGATTCGGTTAACCGATTTTTCGGTTTGGTTTTGGTCGGTTTTTTGGTTGGTTCTGTTTTTCGAATTGTTT